CACCTACACTGAACACCTTCAAGAGCAAATTGGATGCTTATCTTGCTGGGATCCTATGACCCCAGCTGACTTCCTGCCCTTTGGGCAGGGGGCTGGACTCGACCTTCCGAGGTCCCTTCCAGCCCTAATGTCTATGAAATCTATATACATGCCAGAACGGTTGGCCCCCACTGGACTAGAACATTACAGTGAGATTAATCAAGTCTGCTCCAACACACTGGAATTCCAGTATGTAGGAACAGCCTCCATGCCCATGTACAGGCACCTTAAGTTTCCTCATTGGAGACTCTTAGCATCAGGAAAACGCATCTAGAACACATAACCTTCAACAATTCAAGTGGTTCAGGAAATGTTTTCATAGTACTGCAAAAAGAAGTCTGAACACAGACAACCAACCTCATTTTGCTCCTTTGCCTGTAGAAGGAACACATGGATTACTGGAAGCAACATGGTGTCTGAGTTTACTTAGCAGAGTCTTTCTCCAAGCACAATGCAGCATCATGCTACACAAAGAAGCACAGCAACATGATGATGCTTTGGAGTCACAGAGGTCTCCATGGGACAGCCTTCATTGGTGATTCATAGATATTGCTGTCTCCCAGTATAGCCTTCTCACTGAATTAGCAATGCATCATTGTGTTTCACATAACTACACAACACTTTGGACTCTCCTCCAACACTTATTCCGGTTAGTCTTTAACATGGTAAGTGTTTTAACCACCAACGGGCATATGTACAGCCCATGAGCAATGTAGAGAGACTGTCTTCAGTAAAATAATTCTAATACCTGTTTCTATGCAATTACCAAGAATCCAAGCATGTGAGTAGTAGGAGACATGGAAATGAAGGAGAAAATAATTTGCAGAATCCCTTAGAGCAATAATAAAGATGTACTGTACAACATAGCCTAGGTTAACACCTGCCATGGACTATCAGAGAAACACAACTGCCACCATATTGCCAATGACCATGTAGCTTCAATTGCTTAGTGGGTGGAGAGCCACAGGCAAGAGAAAGTGAGAGCAATGTACTAGCCTAAATCCCGGTATTAGCGAGATGGCATACAGCAATTACTATCAATTGTTTACAAAAATTCTTAGAACCAAATTCTCTTCTAAACCATAATCATGTAATTGCCATTGAAATCTGTGAGACTGCACTAATGTTACTATGGATACATAATAGTGGGACTGAGTAGTGACCATGCAGTGAAAAAATACATCACAAGTGTTAGAATAAGAACAAGTTTTTAATCTTTCCAGACTGCACATTCAGCTCCAAGAAAGCTGACATTTACGCAACCTAAAAGTGTCACACTAAAAAGAACATAACAACAAATCCTACTCTGAACACATTATAGAATCCACCTTCATGGACTTTTTTTCCTGAATGGATGAAAATATCAATACTCTAAAGGCGTGTCTACAAGTCGCTGTATGGTGATATTGCTACGGTACCATTTTTTAGTTGTTCCTTTTGGTTACTGCCATGGGCACTGCACTGTGCACACAGTGCGTGGTTAGATTTCACCGCTACATCACCATAGCAGCACACTATACCAGGGGAGCATGCCACTACAGTGACATAGCTGGCAATCACATTTAGACCCATCACTATATTGCTGTAGCGTGCCGTATGGCAATATAGCATGTTACAATGTTGTCACAGGGCAACATGTACAAGCGCCCTAAGATGTATATATTATTCCATCGATTGGCTGGGTCTGTAACAAAAATAGGAAAAAATATTCTCTATATATTATGGACTCTTACACAGGATTAAAGAAAACAGAAAATGCTACGCATAAAGTACCCCAGCTACACTCCTGGTCACTACATATTTGTTTCCTTTCACTTTCAAAATACAAAAAAATCCCACAACAACTTCAGTAAGTTGTCAAGTTGCTTTCAGTGTACATGAATATCAATAATTAAAGGTTTTCTTCTGATTTATTAACTAGGTTTTCTAAGCTGTGACTTTGAAGAGGTAAAATTTCTTTTCTGTTCTGCTTTTGATCAAAGCCTTACTGGATTGAGGGTTTTTCTTTTTCTTAATTAGTTAGTTCTATTTAATTTAGTGAATAAAAGTTTATTGATATGGAAGGCAAGTTATATCTCTTTACTCGGCGCTGGAATAGTTCTACAAATGAGTAATCAAGTGTTTGGTGGGTTTGGTTTGGGGGTATTTTTTTAATAAGATGCAGCAAACTTTGTGAATGTGAAAAAAACTTCCTTAAAATATTTTTTACCTTCTACAAGGAAATACTGAAATAAAGTTGCTAAGATAAATACAGTATTTCTTGTACTCTGTTAGAGGCCAAAAAGAATCATTTGGGATTACTGAGAGTACATGCAACAAAAGACAGGAATGAATACAAGCGCAAGCAAGATTTTGCTTCAACTGACTTCTGTGATTTCTTGTTTACCTTTGCAAGTTAATGAACATCCCTGACATGTTGTTCAGTGTCCTGAGAATCAAGCCCACAACTGCAAAATTCCAAGTGAAATGCATAGGGCAACTTCCTAAACTTGCAACACTGCTCGGTTTTGTCTGCCTCTAATATATCCCTATCTGAGGGACAAGTCTCACATCACTACTGCTGACCTTTACCATATAATAAAACAACAACAAAGAAGTCTGTTCAGATGTATATTTCTGAGGATCTCAAGCCTGCCCCATTTTGAAGCAGCTTGGCTTGTAATATCTGGTGCAAGATGCATACTTTCTTAGGGAAAATCTCTTTTTTATTTGGTTTTCCTTGTTTTCCTTTGTATTGGGTTTTCATTTTATCATTTGGAGCCACCTTGGTAACATTTTAGTTGCAACAGTTGAAATTTACTTTCTAAAGCTAAACCACTTTCTCCATAATTTGACGTTTTTTAATCCCTGAACCAGAGATCACTAATGAGATTCAATTGATATTCCAGGCAAATCCACTGTATTCATAACTGCCAAAAACAGCTCAATCACTGCTTCTCCAGCTGGTCATAATCTTAGAGAATACTAAATTTGATTAAATATGTTGGGCTTTCTGGGCTCTAACCATAGCCACTCAGAAGCAAAGATAAAAAGACACCAGTCTGAGGAGTCAAAGAGATAAATGGGTACAATCAGTAATTTAAAAGAAAAAAAGGTTCTTTCCACTTATAAGCTCTGCTGCACATTACCTTCTTCCTGGTATACATTCTGCTTTGCTCCAGAGCAAAAACTAACTTGGTGAGACAATTATTTAACCTGTTTACTCATTATGACAACTGCCTACAGTACCTGCCTTGCATTTAGAGATCATCTAAGCACAAGTATTTGGAGTGTGGAATGAAAGAGAATTTACAGGAAGAATTTACAGACTGTATGGTGCCTGTGTTCATGAAGAACAATGGCTAAACAAAGGGTTCACTTCAATCATGGGAAGATCTAGGAATTCAGAAAAAGAGGAGTGAGAAGATAGATGCCACCAGTGCCACTGGGGAGGTTGCAGCCCCCTCCAGCTCCACTACCCAAGGCAAATTGTGGCATGGCAGCAGGTCCAGGAACTTTTCTAGAATCCCCGAAGCAAGTAAGGCTCCCTCCTCCTACCACTCTCTGCAGCCCTCTCCCTTCAGTGCAGGCACCTCTCCTCTCTTCCCATTCCCCTCTCCCCCTCTCCAGAAGGGGTTGCCTTTGGGTGCAAGAAGAGTGATCCCGTCACTGCTGTCCCTGACATCCATTTCCAATGCTAATGCTTGGCAAAGGACTGTTTTAGGGCCTTGTTATGCATTAATCTTAGGTGGCTCCTGAAGCTCTGAACCCCTGGATTGTCTTCACATTAACACCTGAAGCTAGTTTGAAGTCCTCCTACCGAGTGTGCAAACAGCCTGCAGATCATGTCAGCTAACCAGGTTGCAGGGCAGAGACAGGTCCAGAAGTCGGGTTTGGGGGAGAGGAATAGAAAACAAGGTAGGGGACTAAATTAGGTCCCCATGAGCTGGGGCTTCCTTCATGGGAAGGGATAATAGCTCCCCCAAATCAACTTCCCTTACTGCTACCACCTCATAACCACCCCAAGAAGCATAAGCAGTACCCCCACACCCTAATCCCAAATCCCAATTTATTAAAACATGATACCTTAATTTACTTCCTCTTTATTTCTTTTTAATTGTTTTAATTCTTTTTATTTTATCCTTCAGTGGCTGACTTGCTTCATTTCACCACCCTTCCCCCCACCCCCATTTTCTTTCCACTTTTCATTACCCACACCCATCCCGTTACCTCCCTGCTTCCCAGCTTCATATTTCCACCTCCCTCTCACCCCACTCTCACATCCCCCCTCTCCCCCGACCAAGAACAGGGACAGAGGCCTGTGCTGGGCTCAGCAACCCTGTAGCAGCAACTTACAGCTGTAGCGCCTTGTCAGGCCCCTGCTCACCAACCCTCTAGTGGCAAGTCACAGCTGTGCAGGTGGGGGTCAGTCAAAGAAGGTTTTTAGCCTTGAGGTGTGACTGGTCCAAACTTGAGCTAGCACTTACACCAGTCAACACTTGTGTAGCTTAAAGTACAAGGTGGAACAAGGCCCTTAGTCATAAGAGCTCACTTGCCTTTTGCAAGCTCAATCTAGATAGTCAAAGGCATAGCTTGTTGAGATATCTGACTGCTACGCCAGAGATCTTCCCAAATCAAAACCTAGGCACTGTCTTGAATTCAGAATTTCTGCCATCAGTGTTCTGTCATTGCTCTGTGGGTACCTATTTGTTGCTCGATGGATGTTAGCCGTGTTATATAAACAAGAATGGCTGCCTCTGTACTTTTAATTTTCCTCTCCAGCTGTACTCTGAAGTCACACATACCACACAGAAAAAATATGCTCTTACATTTCAAATATTTTAGTTGATACATGTAGAAAAACAAACTTAATTTGAGCATGAGGTGCCTGGGAAATTAAATTACAGCTTTGAGTTTTCATTTGTCTCCAATCAGTGGGAAACAAGCTAAACTGAATCATGCACTTCTAAAGAGAGCTTCCAAGTATTTTTATTTCATTAAGTCATGTTAGTAGTCTAGTAAGATCTCTTACCTGACCTTAATCTGCTTCTTGAGGTCTGAAAACACAACAGAGCATGTCAATTTAAAACTTGGAAGAATTATTGTGCCTACCACTGTTGTTCTCCCTAGACATTATACTGATCTGTCAAAATAAAAACTGACACTTTTTCCTTTACTTCTCATTTCATTAGGGATAAATGTACATTGTGCACATAAATCTACAGAGACAGACTGAATCACAGATAACTGAGCAATAAAAGTCTCTGATATATTTTTAAGTTAAAAATTTACCTCATAAAGGTGCATAAAAATCATTATCTTTAATCTGAAAGGCAAGTGTTGCCTTTTAAATGTTTCTCTTGATCCATTCATCAGAGAGAAAGACCTGATAAGAGTTTGGAATTGGCTCAGTGCTATAATTCTCAGGGACATGAAGCATATTTCCTCAGTTACTTCACAGAAGAAATGAAAAGTTGGATCAGGAGCCCTGTTCAAACTGTCCCCTTAGGAAAACATTCAGGATATCTTCCAGGCTTCAAGTTTCAAAGGCTAAATAACAACCTTCAATGCAGTGGACAATATGGCTGCAACCCCAGTAGTAGAGGCAAAACCAAGAGCCCAAATGATGTCCAAATAAGTGTGATTATGGGCCAAATTCTACCTATTATAGGAACTGAAAAAATAGCATCTCCTTATACTTTGAGGTAAAATAGCCACTGTGGTTTTAAGTATCATTTTCATTTCGCAGCTGGACACAGCCACCCAAAAGGTTATTTATACTGCTGCATTTGGGTTTGCAAAAAAATAAGGATTAAAGTTGCTCACAAGAAGGACTGATTGTATGAAAATTCTTGATTTAGAAAAGTTGGGTTATTAATTATTATTATGCATGAACTATTATTTAAACCATGACAGTTAAGTCATTTTCACAGCAAATATTCTCTTCTTTGGTAATTTAAGTCTCCTTTCTCTGTACCTACCATTACTATTAGGTACCTCTCTCTGCATGGACAACTGACTGCACCTGATAATATGGACACACATTTTCATTTTATATACACAGACAACTATCTGTACGGCATTTAAAATTCCAGCTTTGACAATCACTGTTGTACCCCGCTATCCTAGATTTTTTTCTGAAGCCAACTTCAATGCAATGTGCACCAATCTATCAGACACCAAACCTTGGTACCCTTCAATTGACAGTTCATCTTAACTTGGCCTCTCCCTTTCTTCAGACATCAGTGCATTTTTTTCTAAAGGATTTTAAAAATTCTATTAAGCCACGAATTTCAATTCAGTTCTAATTATTTTTTAAAACACTAATTCTTTCCTGAAGTTAGGGACCATGCCTTAAACCTGGAGATCCAGCACCAGCCTGATTTATATATGCATCATGAATATATTTTGCATTGGTATCTATCCTTTCTGGACAATGAGCATTATAATTTAATTATTATATCTGTATGCAATAAATTCTTAATATAGAAAAACATAATTGCTTTTAATTTGAATGTGGGGGGAATGGAAAATACCTCATTCATCCATGAAGAATGAGACCATCCTGCGGGCAGTGCTTGGATACTATTAAAAACAAACTTAAAATACAAAACCTGATTCTAGCCCTTTATAATTTTTAAACACCACTTCCTCAGTGAAGGAGCTTTGGGCTTAGAGGCTAGTAGTCATGCAAAGCTACTGCAAATTGCTGTCTTTGGTAAAGGCCAAGCAAGCAGCTGGTAGTACAAAATTGGAAGGACCAACTGTTGTTAATTTACTATTTTGGACTAACTTTAAGTACAGTATATTTTTACTAGCCTAAACAGCTGCACGCATTTTATGTTACTCTGTCTATAACATATGGACTACATTTATATCTTACTTTAAATACATATTAATAGGCTGATAATAAAGGATTCATGATGAGAAATCAAAAGACTATGTTATGCTGTTTGTCTAAAATATTTGAAAGGAAGAAGAATCAATAGCTGTCTACAAGTTTATGATGTGACTAAGTAGGGTTGATGCACAAAGTTTTCAGCAGGAGGATTCAGATGACCATGATGAAGGTGGATTTAAAAAAGGAAAATTTAAGCTAAATGACTAAAAGGGATTTTGATAGGGAAGGCTCTTAGAGAATGAAATAGTTTCTGAAGGCAAGTGAAGATACTATCACTTAATTCATTTCTCAGTGGACTAAGCACTGGAACATAACTAGTAGGGAAAAATTCTACGCCATAAGGGATACAGAATAAATGATATACTAAGTGTTTTCAACTCCAATTTCTACAACAACAACAAAAAACACGTATTCTCATTTTGAAAGTGAGGACTATACTGAATTTCTATCACAAAATCCAAAACATTTCTCACCTCCTTCTTGACTAATAAGGATAATACTGCATTATAAAATAGAAGTGTGCATCTTTCCAGCCAGGGAGAAATAATGTAAGATTGAAGTACCAAATTTAACTCTATTCCAACTTTAATTTTTAAACATCTCTTTCTTTCTTAATCAGATGGGAGCCTGGATGCAACAGTGATGCACATTTTCAAGTAGAATTTACTGTAAAGAAATATGTATTCCCACCTGCTGGGGTGGAAATACAGACTGGAGCTAAATTACCCCTATAATTAAGTACTTCATCCTAGGTGCTGTTTTAAGTAAAAGAACCATTCTATAACAGTAGGTATAAATTCCTTTACACACATACGATGTAGCATAAAATGCAACCATTTCTATTAGAGTAATAGCACAAGACAATCAAATGCTACTCTATAGTCAACATTTCAACAATGCCATGGTGCTTATAAATCTATTTTCAAGTTGGCTAGGCCATGATCAATGGGGGAACTTATCACAAATGACAAAGCATGTACTTTTACAAGTTTGTTAAAGTAATTTCCAGGTGTCATTATATTTCTACCCATCTGTCATAATTTCTTAATATTTGAAGGTTTAATGAAAAATATCATGGCACATCATAATTAGGAACATTTTTGCTACTTTATCCACTTGATTAATAAAGTAGAGCCAAAAACCCTTCATAATCATAACAGCAATGAGGGGTTCTTGTCCTTAACTTTTATAGCATATCATAAAAATGCACGGTATTTTCTGATATGTGAACTGAACATAAAACAGCCTTGTAGCCATCCATTTGTATAACTATAAATACAATTTGCTTTTATTTGTAAAATCTGAATAAGACCAAAGGTTGCAATTCTCCCAGAAAAAAATGTGCCTTACTTTTAATGTTCTCTTTTTACAAAGTAAAAACATTATTTACAAATGAGAAGACATTTAAATTCTCTTTCATCATTCAAACAATTCTCAAATTAATCCAAAATGGTTTTCAATTGGCTGAAACATTCAATACATTAGATTATATTAAATCTCACATTGTCCCATATATCATAAAATAGCTTCTAAAATGATTGGACAATGACTGGTATATTTTTAAGTGAATGATTTTAATAATACCAGAGGAAAATTATCTAGTGTTATGGGTTTCAATCACTGATAGTGCCAAATTCTTTGAGTGATGTACCAGAAGCAATTTTTAAAGGTTTTGAAGGATTTTGTACTTTTTCCCAATTTATATTATCTATTGGATTTAGGAGAAAACAAGAATAAACTCTAAAAATTTTAAATACATAGGATTAACATTTTTAATGATAAGAACAAGAAAAGCTATTACACACGTTCTGTGCAGATTTATTTTGTAATTAAAGTAATGTATTTTGCAAAGAACTACAATCATTTCCAGTTACTATCACTCCCTACAGAAAACATTATTATTTTTGTTAGTTCCAAAAACATAAGGCCAACTCAGTCATGTGATAACTCAGACAGAACTTTAGCTTCTTCCAAACCTGAATATTTATATTTCAGATAGGGTTAATCTTGAATTCAAAGTCATCTTGGATTTGGGTAAATATGGTAATAAGCAACTGGAATATTACTCCTTTACAGATATCAACATCAACACATCCAAAATAATTAAATAAGACCCTAACTAGGGATTTCCACTGATTCATATGGAGCCTATTAAGTTAGGGTTTTTAAAGAAACCTCAAAGAATAAGACATCTAACAGCATTTAGAAGCCAATGCAATTTTGACACCTGATTTTCAAAAGACCAAGGGAAAACTGCAACTTCAAAGTTTCCCAAAGGATTGATCCTGCAAGGTGTCAAGACCCTACATGAGAAACTGAGTAGGAAATTAGTACCTCTCAGGATTAACTTTCAATGGAAATTATCTGTAAAGCACACCAAGGAGGAAAAAAAAGAAATACACTATCTAAAAAAATAAATAAATGCTGCCCATATTTATTTGTGTTAACCATGAAGTTAGGCAAATGGTCATCTTTCCTACAGCCTTGAATTGATAATACCAAGTATCAAGAATGCTTTTAAGCAGCTTGAAAATTTAGTGAAATAAGTTGTAGAAGCACCAACTATTACTTAAGATTTATTTCTAAACTGATATTTATTTTATATACTTACTTATTTCTGAACTGAACTTTTTTTGAACATTGAATAAAGTCATGTTTTTATTTATAAACTGGTCAGGTGTTGCCCTTAAAACCTTCACGGTAATTTTTTAAGCAAATAGAATATTTTTCTCTTTGTTCCTTAAAAATTAAAGAGGAAAGGATAATATTGTTCTCTTGAACATGGGTCCAAAAATGTGTGGTATATAAATATAATAGGGGTGTAAAGTTGTAGCCATGTTGGTCTAAGGGCACAGGCAGATGAGGTTCTCTGGGTTAATCTGGTATCTTTTATTAGATCAACCTACATAGCTGGAAAAAATTTTTGGCAAACTTTCAAGTTTAAAAACCCTTCGTCACGCTGAGGAAGTCTCTGCAGTTGGTGCGTGCTCTTCCTGGATGGAATGCATAGTAAAGAAGCCAGAGACTGGGCTGGTATGCATGTAAGACAGGCAGTCAGTGAAGATGTAAACTGAGGAGTCAGTCAGTGAGAGACAGGTTGGGTGCAGGGGGAGAAGGGGAATGAATGTAGCAGTTACATAATGGAGAGGTAACTAGGGAGTCAGATGTCAGGAAGGTTATAATGCATCATAAATCCAATGTCTATATTTAGTCCATGATTTTTTGTATCCAGGAGATTGATGAAGTGAAGTTCATAGGCTCGTCTCTGAGAAGTGTTTTTTTCTAAGTTCCCTTTGAGGATTAGAACTGACGGATTGGAGAGAGCATGGTTTTCTTGTGAGAAATGTGCCCCTACAGGTAATTAGGTATTCTCGTCTTTGATAGATTTCCAGTGTGCATTCATTCTGATGTGCAATTGTTGTTTGGTCTCTCCTGCATATTTTCCATCAGGGCATTTGGTGCATTGAATGAGATATATTACATTTCTGGAGGTTCATGTGTAAGATCCAGGAATGGTGATGGCTTTGTTGTGGGCTGTACTAATTGTGGGGGTGGTGAAGATGTGTTGGCAGGTTTTACATTTCTTCTCATGGCATGGTCTGGATCCTTTCAGCATGTTCTGGGCCTGAGGAAGTTTGCTTCTAGTGATGAGGCTAGCGAGGTTCAGTACTTGTTTGAAGGCTAGGATGGGTGGTTCTGGGAAGATCTCTTTGTGCCCATCTAGCCTCGAACATCTGATCACGTGCCGCTCAGGCCTGACTGTTCAGTGGTGTTTGCCTGTCCGTCCCTGATGTTCTGCCGTGTGGGTGTTTCCCTCCGGTGTAGTCTCCCCCCAATCTCACCTGCCACGACTTTGGATCTTGTTTCAGTGGTGGGTGTCCGACCACTGGGAGTCTCTCGACAATGGGACATCTGTCTGGTGATCTTCTGCAAGGTTCCACCTCCCCTCTACCTCACCCTAACACCCTGCCTTGATGGGTTCCAGATGTCCTTCTGGCCAAGTCCCCAACGGTTGAGGCCCCAAGTGTGTTTGCAGAGAAGGTCTTATCGGCCTGCAAGGCCTAACCCCCAATATACCCTTGCGCCTCGCAGCCACCTATACTTCCCTGAGGCTATAAACCACCTTAGGTTTAAACAACACTCAGGCTCCACACGCCCTGCACCACAACCCTTCCACTAGTGGGAAACAAAAATACAAACAAAAAAAAAACACTGAGACATTAAGAGAGTCCCCGCTGCCCCTTATCATCAGCTCCTCTGGCCTAACCACCCATGCCAGTCCTCATGTACCAAAGGCCCCTATTCAGCCCTAAATGGGTCTGCAGGCTACTCCGTACTCCTCTTCCCTCTTCGCCCTACCTGTGGGTTCGCTGGACCCGCTGTGGTCCTTCTCCAGATGCTTGAGAGTTGGCGACACTGCAAGCATCACAACCACACAGCCCTACCCAACTCCCCACATCACCCGTCGGGTTGGCTCTATGCCACTGGGGCCCATATTTCACAGCCCCTCACACTGCTTGTGCCCCACATCTCCCACCTAGTATGCCTCCTTGGGTCTCCCGGAGCCCTCAATGGTCCCACCTGGTCTGGCGTCTTGGTGTATGCTGGGTTCTCCGGCTCTTCAGCAGTAGCCCCTGGCATAGGGATCCTCCTGCTCCTCTCTGCCTGTCAATCCGGGTCCCTGGTCAAGGAGAGCTGCCTCTGGCTCCTCACTCCTTGCACTGCTGCCGGCAGCATCTTTCCCATAGAGGACTTTGCTGCGTTCTCCCCTGCTGG